TTTTCATCATCTATCTAGGTATATCTCCTTTTCAACTTAAATTTCAAATAAATTCTTATATGAACTATAGAATGCACTGGTAGGGTTCTGTTTCTTGCTTTATAAAGACAAGAGTTGGAATAAATTACCCAAAATTGACTGAATTTTGGTGGAGAATCCACAGGGATATACCATTGAAGTAACTAGTGGTTAAGGGAGACTATTGGATCATTGTACGTATAGAAGATTCAGTAAGCCATATATAGTACATATGTGTATAGGCTCCAGACATCTGCACTATTTATTTTGTTTTTGCACTATCGGGCATTCTCTTTTTCACTTTTTGTTTGGCTTGGGCGTCTGCCTCTCTGGAATAAAGTCTCGGACAATTGGGGGACTGCTCCCCCATGGGACTGTACCATTTACAATGTCTAAATTAACAAATGAAGGAGTAAATGATCAAAATAATATTTAATGATTAGCTTTCTTTAGCATTTTGGCGCATAAGAAACCCCTTCCTCCAAGCATTTTCACTTCTTCTCCAAAAACCTTTTGCTAGTAGAATCGAAATGAGAATTCGAACTCAAGCCCGAACCCAAACCCCAAAACCAAGCAAAGAACACTTTCTACAACCAATTTTGGATAGAATGCATTTCTGTGCCGCCTTCAAAATCCGCCGTCGACCGACTTGATTGACAGCCGCAGAAAGTAGCGTTAATCCAGAGAACGTGTCTGGAATCACAATCAATGCGCAGAACTTAGGGCCCAAAGGCCGAATGGGGGGCGGGGGAGCGGGGAGCGGGGGAGAGAGCTCCAGCAGACAATTCTTTGTTTCTTTTGTGTTTTTTAAGCGTTCAACGACTTGTCTAGAACATAAATCTTTCCTCGAGGGTGTGGTGGCTATGGCTAATGGTTATTTTTGAAATTCTTATGTAATATTTGTGTGGTACTATCGCTTCATTTCAGTTGAGAGACAAGTGGTGGTATATCCCCGAGAGATCAGCGAAACCTTCAAGATGAAAAGCGCCAAGCGCTGGCTGTTCATGACAGCAACAGGTGAGAGGATAGCCGAGTAAAAAACACCCACATAATCGTGTTATTCGTTATTCGAACGGGTTCCTGTCCTGGGGATTATGCAACTTTTAAGCTGTGGAATTTATTTCGATTTCGATTCCGCCTTTCAGTGCTGCTGCTGAGCCTACTGGCCTGCTCAGAGGCTGCCCTGCCCTTCAAAAAGGTCTCCATTGCCAAGACACCCGCCTTCACGAGCAGCACCACCACCACCAGCACCAGTACAACCACAGAGGACACACCCGTCGAGGAGGAGGACACCCCGGTGCCCAGTGGCGAGGGCGGCAGCAGCGACGTTCCCAAGGTGAGCGATAGGAAGTTGGGGAAGACTATTCCCATGGCTAACGCGGGTATTTATGGTGTAAACTCTACCCTTCCAGGCGGACAATAACACTCGTACGTCGACAAAGAACTCCAAACTGACGGGCATTCCACAAATCGATTACATCTGGGATCCGAATCTTCCCAGGGAATTGAATGGGTAAGCATTTAGAGCAATGCCAGCGAAGAGAATGCAGAATGTACCCCCTCCACAGGTACAATCTTTCGACTTATCCCTTCCTTTCGACGGTGCCGCCCATGGATGAGATTCACTTCAAGTGCGAGGGCCTCCACGATGGTTTCTATGCTTCCATTGAGTACAAATGTCAGGTGAGAGCCAAGATGGGACAGAGGACAGGGGACAGGGGACACGGGACGCGTGACCTTGTCCGTAACACAAACAATAGGATTTCCTCCACTGCCAAAAGCCACTAAAAAAAAAAAAACAAAACCCTATGTGCATGTCCAGTAATTTCTCTTTTTCAACGTTCAACGACGGGTTTACGTTTACGTGACGCCAAAACTCGTTTACGCTTCGATCTTGACCTCAAAATCGGAATTTTGTTTTGCCAGACGCTAAGCGATAAACGCTAAACGCTAAACATTGGGATTAGTTATGGCCAAATAATGGCATTACTAACATCTTGGACAACACCATCTCGTTGTAGATCTACCATCATTGCGTCTACGGGATACGGCACGATTTTCTGTGCGCCAATTTCACGGCATTCGATCAGCGGACATTCATCTGTCACTTTGCCTCCGATGTGGACTGTGAGGGATCCCAAAAGTACTGGAACAGGTAAAGCATGCATAGCATATATCTTTATAGAACGTTGAAGAAAAAATCGATCCTAAATGTTAATGTATTTTCAGGAACGATGCACTCTATATGGCTACCACCACCACATCCACGACTACCACAACCATTGCACCGCCACCCACGCAACCGGCAGCACCGCGTCGTCGTCTGCAGAGACCACAGCGACCCCTGAGGCGGCCGTACAACCGGAGACCCATCGATGACTACTACTACGATGAGGAGGATCAGTACGAGGACGAGTACTACGAGCGACCGACGCGCAGGCACAAGACCAGACCGCGTCATCGCAAGCCCCAGGTGGAGGTGGACTACGAGGACGAGTACGAGGAGAAGCGGGTCGAGGCCGAAAAGCCGGCAAGACGCAACCGAAATCGGTACAGGGATGAGGAAGAGTCCCTGGACGAGGACTACGAGGAGAGGCCGGCAATCAGAAGAGGAAAACCAACGCCGGGACCAGCTGGAAGGAAGGTGTCGCCGCCTCGAAAGCCCGGTCGAGCGGAGGAGCGACGCAGCTTCAATGAGGACCGGCCCCTGGCCAGGCGTCGCAGCAACGAGAGGCGTACCACGCCGTCATCCGCCATCGACGATCTCGATGAGTACGAGAAGCCCTACGGGGGCACGGACCAGGAGGAGGCTGCCGAGGAGCAGACGCCGCAGAAGGTGAAGACCACACCGAAACCTCTCACGGAATATATCACTCCCAAAGCGGCCGCCGCCTCTGTGTATGCCCGTCCCAGGGCTCCGCCGAAGATCGCCCGCCCAGTGCCCATCACCGAGAAAAAGAAGTACTCCTATCCGGTGCAGAAAAACACGGCCACCGCCCAGCCGCCGTCTGGGAATGGCCAGGAGGAGGAGGACTACTCCCAGGAGCAGGCGCAGGAGGATGACTACGAGCAACCACCACCGCCACCGCCGGCCAGGAACATTCCCCGACGACGCACTGCAGCGCCCAGGGCCGAGCAAAAGCCCACACGAACCACGCTGCGGAAGCCCGTGACGGACAAGAAGCCGCTCGAAGAGGATTACGATGAGCCGGCCGAGCAGCCGGAGCCACCGCGCAAGCGGAAGCGTCCACTGGCTCCCCGATCCCGCGCCCCAGCGGCCGATGTGGACTTCGATGACGAGGACTACGAGGAGAGCCTAGCGCCTGCGCCAGTGGCAACAGCAGCTCCAGCACGTGGCATCCTGAGGAGTCGCTCAAAGGCAACGACCACAAGAAAGCCAATAGCGCCTCGACCCCGGCAGCCCATCGTCGAGGAGGAGGACACGGCTGAGCCCATCATCAGCGAGGAGGAGGCGCCCGCATCCGCGATTGCGCCCAGAACGAGAGCAAATTCCCTGAGCGGAAGGACGGCACCTGGCAAACCACAGCGCCCCTCATCGGTACGTGTGGTCAAGCGACCCTTCCTGCCCTCCCGGGGCGGAAGCCCCTATCTGCCGCGCGGCCTTCAGCCGGTGGGCGTGGCCCTGAAGCCAGTGCCGCCAGTGACGACAGACAGCACGCCCATCGACATGGGTTCGACCATCTCGGGGGTGCGTTTGCTGGAGCACGGGGCACCGCTGCTGCGAGGACGGCCCGACAGCAGCGAAGACGAGGTGGAGGAGGAGGAGGAGGACGACGATGAGGGGGCGCCTCCGTCTCCGAGTCCGCCACGTACCACGCTGCCGCCTCGCAGCGCCCTGCCGGCCACGCCCAAGCAGCAGCAGCAGCAACAGCCGCCGAAACTGAATCTCGACGAGCTCTACGAGAACGACTACGATGTCACGCTGAACGATGCGCTCGATCCCACGCTTAAGCCGCTCTCGCCATTGCCACAGCATCAGATTCAGATTCAGCATTCGCATCCGCTTCCGTATCAGCCACAGCAACAGCAACAGCCGCAGGGTCGTCCCTATGCCAGTGCCTATGCAGCTCCTACTGGTGGCAGCTCCGCCTCATCCGCCTACAATCCATTCGCCTATCAGCAACAGTATCAGCATCCGAATCATCCGCAGCATTCGCAGCAATCATCAACATCCGCTTCAGCTTCAGCATCCGCATCAGCTCAATCCCAAACGCAATCGCAGCCAGCGAGCTACCATAGTGATTCCTATTTCTCATCGACAGATATACGCCGGCGGGCTATTGTCCCGTCGCAAGCCGCGCGTCCACATCGACACGAATACGCTGCTCCCAGAGGACCAGCCGCCGGAGGAGCTGGACCAGGCGCCGGCCCAGGAGTGAGTCATCACCATCAAATGGGCGGACGGATTGCCCAGCATTTCTACGATGACTTTGCCTATTGAATGCGGGATACGAACGAGGTCTGTGTGTGTGTGTGTGTGTAATAAGGTGAGTAGGATCGGGATCCCTCTTGTTCCATTCCCATCTAATATGATCTCCCTTTTTGGCTTGCAGTTTCTTCAGCTGTAAATAAGTTTCCCCCAACCCCAAGAGCACCCAAGAGCACCCAAGAGAACCCAAGAGACCCCAATCAACCCCAATTGAAGAGGAGTGGAAGGATTCGTGTCCCCTACTTTAGTCTACTCGTAATTCCCATAAGGTTAAGAGAAGAACTTAACTCCTTACTTATAATACCTATATGATACATTGTATAATACTCAATTGTCGTGATAGTAGCCGGGACAAAACACGTTTGCGCATTTGTCTGTCTAACTCTATATCTGTTGTCAGTATCCTAACATCCTTCAACAGCCTCCCATCAACAAGAGACAAGCAGCATTCAGCAGCAGGAAGAAAGACCAGCAGAACAGCGGCGCGGCCAATGATGTCCTTAATGTACATTTAGTGAGAAAAGCAATTTACTTAAATTCCTAATTTAAATTCTGTAATATTTGTAAGCTTTGTCCAGAGAGAACTTAAGTCCGAGTGCTTAACAACTAAATAATAAAAACACAAATGGAAAACACTCACTTAAACCTATTCCTAATCATTTGAGCGCAGGCAGACCTTTAGATTCTCCGTTTCCTCCTCCAAATGATCAAGTTTTTTCATCAAAATGATCTGCAAAACAAATACAGTATCAATAAGAGATGTGACATGGGTAAAAAGCCCATACAACCTTTGCTGCGGAGACGATTTCCGTAGCCACTCTCAAAGGCATATGCTCTACAGTTTGCACTAAAGTCATGGGTCGTATCTTGGCTATATCCTCGATGGTTCTAAGGCCCGCTGCATATAGCTGCTTGGCGCGATTCTGAAAGATCAAGCAGAGATTAAACCGAATGAAATGTCAGATATTTCAAAGGTAGTGCGGTGGTCTTACAATTTTAACACCAGGCAGCTCCATGAGTGGCTCTAGTTCTACCGTGCCGCAGCGATCCATTTTGTGAAGGACGCGTTCGAACAATGGCTTGTAACACCAGAACTCTTCCATTTCGTCGCACAGCCGGACAAGGGCACTGGAGGCAGCAATCGACTGGCTAATGAGGTGCTGCAGAGTGCCACGCTCCACGTTGTATTTGCAAGAGACTGTCGGCAGCGGCAAGAGATCCAGAATATCCGACAGGATAAGCACTTTGTAGAGGCGATTCAGTTGCTGGGCCATGGGACCCTGCACCGACTGCGTCTTGAAGAGCCTGGCCGCATGGGCCTCGGTGAAGCCGAGCTGCTTGAACAGCGCCTGCGATTCGGTGCGCAGCGCGGAGTAGACGTTGAACAGAATGCTGGCATCGGCGGGGAACAGCTCATCACCTCGCTCATTCGAGTTGAAGCACACCACCAGATACAGGAGATGCGAGTAGCTGTTGAGAATCAGCTGCTTCTGGGCCTGCTTCAGTTCGCGGTGAATGGCGCTGGCCCGCTTGTAGTCAATGCCCGCCTTGAAGGCAGCCCGTCCAATATTGGTCAACTTAAAGCGCGTGGACTGGCCAATGAATAGGCGGCGATCGCCAGCGGGACGAGTGCTTTGGTTCACATCCTGTGTGGTAATAATATCCGTACAGTTCATCTTTAGCTTGGCTGCCGGCGACTCTGTCAGCTGCAGCACTTTGTTCTTGAACATTTCGCGGAGTATGCGGAGAACCAGCTCGTCCACGGCCACCTCCAGGGCATTGGCCTGCACCGCAAGGAGAGTGCTGTTCACCAGGCGATTCAAATCGCGACGGCATTCGGCAAGATTAAGGCCAATCACGCTCAAAATAAGCGACTAGAAAGGTGACATTAATAATCATGAGTATATGCATGTTTGAAGGAAGCCATTACGCCTTAGAATTCATTTCGTTATATACTTGCCTGCAGTCCCACGGCCTCCTGCTGATACAACGAACTGAGCGCCTTGTCCATTGGTGAAAAGAGCATTTGGCCAACCTGCAGATTGTCCTTGCTCTGGGCAATCAGAATACTCTCGCCCGCCTCGCCCAAGCCAGCACGTCCGGCTCGTCCTACCATTTGCTTGTACTTGCACAGAGTCATGAATTCCTGGCCCACGTAGGGAGCGCGGATGATGACACGCTTGGCTGGCAGATTCACGCCCGCAGCCAGGGTGGAGGTACAGCAGATGACGGTGACGACGCCAAAGCGATAGGCAGTCTCTATATACCTGCGCTCGTCGGTGGTTAAGCCTGAGTGATGATAGGCAATGCCGTAGGGCAGAGTTTTGGCCAGAACAGGGCTAAGAACGCCGCAAATCTTGTCCAAGGCATCCATGAGATCAGCCTTCTCGCTGCGGCGATGCTCGAAGAACTTCTGCTTGGGCACAATGCGACTCAGCAGCAGGGCCACATTCTCGCAGTTCTTGCGGCTGGGGCAGAACACCAGACAGCAATGCTCTGGGGCACATTCGCTGATCAGGCCAGCCAAATGATCAGGATCCGCACGCTTCACAGCTTCGCTGTACTGTAGAGAGAAAATATATTAGAACTGTTACATTTCTGGTTAACTTTACTCACATTAAAGTCGAGCGTGCGATTAGGGACAAATATTTCTTCGAGGGTATGGCCAGCCGAGTTGATCTCCAACAAATCGGAGCCACATTTGATGTACTCTTTCAGTTCCACGGGGCGAAAGCCGCGCGTATAGACATCGGCATTGAGAAAGGCCGAAATCTCGCTTAGGTTTCCTATCGTTGCACTCATGCCCACAATTTGAATATTTGCTAAGGAAAGTCCCAGTGGAAGCTTGTACATAAATTACGGCTCATAAACCCATGCCACCTACCATTCAAAAACATTACTTTGGTGAGAAACGCCTCAAGGGTGGCACCGCGTCCGCGTTCGCCAATCAAATGAAGCTCATCGACCACCACCAGGCCTATTTCATGGGGACGTTGGACATCTATCAAGCTGTCCATCAGCACGGCTCCTTTTTCGATGGAGGCAATAAACAAGCTCCGCCTCTTGCGACGAGGCTCTGGCGGGCATTTTCCCTTGCCAGCCGTATATTCATCGACAATAAAATCCAAGTCAATGGCAAACGGCGACATGGCGCTGACCTTCTCCTGGACAATCGAAACATATGGCAATATGAACAACACATTGCGCTCCTGACACAGCAGTTCGCGCAGCATAAGAATCTCCGCGACTAGGGTTTTTCCCCCGCTGGTGGGAAGGGCGTATATTAGATTCTTTCGCTGCCGTATTGCCGGTAAATTTAGGCATTCGTCCTGCCATTCTGTAAAGTAAACCAAAATATGTGATGGTATCGGTTTGGGACCTTGTTAATACAAAATTCCATACCATACAGGCTCTTGATGCCCTTGTGTTCCAGTATCATTTTCTTGACCTTATCCGGCAGTCCATAGAAGTCACCCTTGCTGGGAAAGTCGTGTTCGGAAAGGCTCTTCGCTTCAAAGTCGGCAAAGGCTTGAGTCTCCCAATTGCTTGGGTCGAGTATTGATTGGTTCTTAAGCTCCTCACAGGTCGCGTATTGCGTGCCATGCACTATACCCTCAATGGTGGACATGGACTCGTCGCTGGCCGGAGGCAACGATTTCTCTGGTTTCACTGGTGTCTTGGGGTTGGGCACTTTGAATGCGACTGCATCGAGGAAAAGTTGTGTATTCTGAGCAATTGGTTCACTGAAGTCTTCGGCTCCGTGGAATATATCCTCCATTTCAGCAATGCTTAGATCAAGCAGATTGATCTGCTTGAACACGCTTCCGGCATCCTCCTCTATCGCAAGATCAATCTGGTTTTCTTTAGATGCAGCATTGCATTCGTGTCCTTGCTCTTGCTGGGGTCTCTGGGTGCTGGGAAATGATACATCAGCAAAAAGGCCATCGTCCGATTCACTCCGTTGCAACTCCGTTGGTTTGTTGCTCGTCTGCGCCTGTGTTCCGAAGAGCTCCTCATTTCGGCCGCTAAGAAGATCCTCAAGCTTTGCATTAGAGAAGAAACTCTCCTCGTCACTGTCTGGCCAAAAGAGGCTCTCGCTGCAAAAGCGTTTGCTATTGCCAGCATCCCTATGATTTTCTTCAGTTATATCAAGTGCCCTTTTGTTTGCAATTCGATCATTATTCTTTTTTTGCTGATCAGACATATGTAAATTTTTCGCGCTCGTGTGACTAGTGGACTTATCGATAAAATATACCGTCCGACCCTCGGAAATATACCGAAACACACCATCTCATTTAGAAAATATACCGTAAATATACTGATGAATTCAAGTTCTATATTTCTCGTTTTTGATCTTCCTTCGAATATTAATATCTATATAGAACATTAAGCCATTCCCACATAATTTTATCCGATTAATGAATCTATATTCTAATTGACTGGCTTATTCTAAATACATGCTTTTATTGCATTGTGCGTAAAAAATGTTTGAGCGAAAATGGTCAAACAAAAAAAAATGTTTTAGCGAAATAGGTCACACAAAAAAACGAAAGAGAATAGTCCTTCATATTGTTCAATTTAGAGATTCCGTTGAATAATGCAGGCTAACTAAAACCCTCAATTGTCAATTGTTGCTGGCATTTGAAGACTTGTTGCTCGTCAACAGGAGTATGGCCATTTGTATACCCTATTTATTTAATTTTATATAAAGATACTGTTTTCCAAACTGTTTTAAAACGTAATTAATAAATACATATTCTCAAATTGATATGTTTTAGACGTATTCATGCATTTAATTAGTTTCCTGTATATCCTGATCCCGATACCTTTAAAACAGAGACTGAATAGTTTCTGCATAGATTGGAGCCTGAAATGCCAAACATTGTCTCAATTCTGTAAGATCCTTTTTTCCTAAGGAAAATGGTGTCTTTTTTCAAAATGCATATTTTTGTTTGTTTTGCAAATTCAAAATTTGTAATTTTTTGTGTGGTATGGTACCACCATACCACAGAAGGGCGAACAAAGCTATCGATGTCTCAAAAAGATGGTAGCGCTCGCGATATAAAAAAATTACCTTGCAGTTGTTGGAGGGAAAACGCTAATATAATTTAAAAAGTTTAAAATTATTGAAACGTCTTTAAATAGATCTGTCGCACGAGTTCCGTGCAATTACGAATTGTGATAAGAACTGTGCCTTGGATTCTAGCCAACTTAAATTGAGGCCCGTGCGGTGTGGCAAGTATCGATAGCTCTGCAAACGGCGTTGTTTTTATGGTGCGTCTTAATGGAAATACGCTTGGGTTGCGAAATTCCAGAAAATTGTCACAATGGCCTGTTGGTACTTGGAGCACCTAAGTACTAAGGAGCGAGTGATCCTTCATAATGGAAAGAACACAATTGGACGCCACTCGACCTGCAAGATTGTGGTAACATATGCATATATATCTAGGAAGCATGTCGAGATTACAGTTAGTCCGAATGAAGTCTTAGTCAGATGCTTGGTAAGTTTAGGTGAAACATAAACCGTAATATCTATCTTCCATATACCCTTTCTCCCCGCAGAATGCTCCGAATGGTGTATATGTGAATGCCGAGGAAATTGCACAGGATGGCGCGGTTGGCGTGCCTGTACGCGAGGGGGATACAATCTGCCTGGGTTGTCCAATTCCGGAGAAGGTATCGAGAACATATGCCGTTTTCAGGTTAAAGAAAGGAGCGGACTATTCGGACCAAATTGTAATATTAAGCGATTCAGATGACTCAGCTCCTTTGCCGCCTCTAAAGCCTGCTGCTGAAATCAAAGTGGAATCTGTCGCAAGCGATAATGCTGCCCCAAATTCTGCTAGCAAAGAGACGGACAAGGGGAGTCCAACTGCATCCAGTTCACATCCGATGCTTCACTTGCCGAAGTTACCACACGTTAAACCAGAGTTGGTACAGACGGCAAGAGATATTACAAACATCTTTGGAGAGGCAGATGAGACCATTATTGACAGTGTTCTGGAGATAAATCCGTATTTGTACAATCATTTGTCCAAAGATAAGCAAGCAGTCTCAATCTCAAAGCTACACGATGGTCAAGTGATTGAGCTGGCTGAGAAGAAGGATAGCCCGGATGGTCTGCCCTGTCCTAAGCAGCCCGACCACGCGGACAGCATCAGCATGCCTCCGCCTTTTTCGCCTGCCACGTCTTTGGAGAAAATTGTTGAGGAGTACGATGAGGACATGGCCATGTCCCAGGCGGTTCTGCAAGAGATGAAGGAGGAGATGGCATTGAGCGATGGCGAGGAAAACTTTTTTGATACAAATAACAATGGAAGCCGCTCCCACGGCTCACCCTTGTCTTCCATTAATGACGACGACATCATTGTGATCACCGACAGCGATGATGATGACCTATGCAGCAAGGTGACCGACTGGTCCAACAAGCTCCTCAGCCAGAAAGCAAACGACGTCTTGTCACAGGCGTATCCCATGGCCGATTCTGATGCGGAGGATGATTTTCAATCTCAAATGAAATTCCGAAACCTACCGAAGGCGCTTCGCATGGTCGATTCCAGCGATGAGGAATCCGATCTGCTTGCCCCTCTCTTTCCCAAACGCTCCAATCCACTCCGCATTGATTCCAGCTCGGATGAGAGTGATACTTCCACCCCCACCACCCGTAAAGGTAAGTACACTATATCTTTCTCTGTCTTCTCTATTCTAATCTCACTCTTTTTCACAGCGGACAGGCTATCGTCAAAGCCATCTCCTATGCGCAGGGGCGCGAATCGCTCCAACTCCACCGAAGATGATTGCCAATTGTTCACGCGGCGCCAGCGAAAAGATCCGGACGACATCTTTCAGGGGCCAGACTTTTCTTCATCTACATATCCACAGAAGAATGATTATGATTGTAAGCTTAATGACTGGGATTTTGATAGCGTGATCTTTGGAGCCTTGAATGACGAGTCCCCCAATGAAGATCTAACCAAGAAGTCCAACATTATCCAGGGCAGAGATGAAATAGATTTAGATGTTTCTATGGAGGTTGGGCTGATGGCCCACTCAAACGTATCAATGGAGAAAGCAGACACTTCTGGGAAGGAGCTAAAGGAATCTCCATCAGTAAAGAAAGCCGCTGCGGAGCCTGCAGTTGGCAACAAAGATACCAAAAAGTCCAGAATCTCCCAAAGACGATCAACCATAGGAGCCTCTCGCGAAGACTTGGCTCAAACGTATGAAACCAAAGATAAATCGGAACCTGAAGCTTCTAACAAAAACTACACAAAGGAAAAAGAGTCTTCTGTAGAGATAGAGGTGCCATCTAAACCAAATGAAGTGGAGAAAGCTGCAGTTGAGCCTGCAGCTTCCAGTAAGGATACCAAGAAGTCTAGAATCTCCCATCGACGAAAAACCGTGTCAGGCTCTCGCGAAGACTTGGCTGGCACTTCTATAGAGAAAACCAAAGATAAAGTGGAGTCTGTAGTTTCAAACAAAAATCACGCAAAGACGAAGGGGTCTTCCATGGGAAAAGAGGTGCCATCCAAACGAAAGGAAGTTCCTAAAGTGGAGCCTGCAGTTTCACACAAAAAGTCCAGAATTTCTCGGCGCCCATCAACCATAGCCGTCTCTCGCGAAGAGTTTCTTGCCGCTTCTGGGGAGGATCCCAAAGAAACTCCTGTAGATAAAACCGAAGATCAAGTGGAGTCGGCAGTTTCCAACAAAAATGACGCGAAGGCGAAGGGATCTTCTGTGGAGAAACGAAAGGAGGATTCTAAGGTGGAGCCTGAAGAGTTTCTTGCCGCTTCTGGAGAAGAACCAAAAGAAACTCCTTCAGTAGATCAGGGCCAAGTGGAGCCTGAAGTTTCCAATAGGTCGAAAGAAAATGAGCCACCACCTAAGCCAAGCCAGGAATTTCCTCCGAAAAGAGAGCCCAATGCACGACTTCGCAGCCGTGCCACTTCGTGCTACAACGAAAGACCCCAAGACGAGCCAGATTTGGTGGCCAACATTGTCAACGGCATAGGCGTGAGGCTGATTAGGGGACCAGAAGTGATTGAGGCTCCTTCGTTGCCAAAGTGTCGCGGCAAGCTGCGCGGCGTTTCGGCTGTGCCCAAAGATAAGGTTTTGGACCGCCAGCGATTCCTTGACTATCAGGCCGATATGAATGCCAAATGGAAGGAGAAGCCCAAACCGAAGAAAACGGTAGATGACGAAACGAAGGACAAGCGTCGTGAGGCGCTCAAAAAACTGTCGGAGAAGAAGCCAGTCGAGAACACTTCCGAGCAATCGGTCAACGGAAAGAGAAAAGCCCCAACCACTGTGCCAAAAGTAAGCAATAATAATCGTGGTGCTTTCCTCACCGTGGGCATCGATGGACCGCCGCCCTCAAAGATTCCCAGCATGGACCTGCACAAGCCAAACAGGAGCCGACGTTCCACTATTGACGTTGAAAGTTTTTCACAGCAGATTCAGGCTACAGATTTTCTGCCCAGGAGAATCGGCCGTCCGCCAGAGCGTAAGGAGGCCGAGTATGCAAGAAATCAGCGAACATGCAATCGCGTCACCTTCGCCAGCATGGAGAAGGATATGGAGGAAAAGTTGAGGCTCCAGAAAATTTCGAAACGAGTGCGATTCAGCGACAAGGTTCAGATCAAATTTATCGAAGGTAGGCGTACGGCACGAGGCTCCCGCGGAGTGCACGGAAAAAAGGACACTGAGCTGCTATTCTCCAGCACGTATGACGAGAGACGTGAACGCTGGGCGCGCACTCAGGTGAACGATCTAACGTCCCACTTCGAGACCATCCTCAAGTGGGCAAATCAATGGCTGAAGCTGCGGAGTGTGGATGCCGTGGCCAATGCAGATGTTCTGAAGCCCATAGCCCTCGAGTTCGAGACCGTCAAGCAATACAAGGAGTGAGTCTGAGTCGGAGTCCAAATTCCTTTTAGTGTGTTCCAGTGTGTGGCACTAACGCTCTCTAACACCTTTTTCTCTTGCAGAATCTTTGTGCCATTGATAAAACTCGAGTTGTTGACCACAATCGAAAGGGAATACAAAGTAGGGAGGGAGTCATTTGAGGTCTGCCTGCAGTTTCCTGTTGAGGAAAAGAATTCATTTTACTGCCTGACTACGCGAGGCAAGTGCCTGAATTCTATAGATCGTCTAATTTCTAATCATCTATCTTCAATAGTGTTCACTAAACCGACAGGAAAGTATATGCTCTACACTCTATCGAGTGGAGACAAGCTCAAGGAGACGTTTGCTAACCTTCGGGAGCAAGGAACAAAAAATGGTACGTACGCTCCTTTTTAATTTTTTTTTTTACGTTGATGTGCAGTGCCTGCACCGTCAAGTGGCCCATTCGGCACGATCGTACAACCGAACCGATCGCGTGCATGCAGGAAAGATAGATGTTAGACTAATATTGGAGAGCACTTAGAACTCAATTGACTAGTATAATATCGTAGAGGGATTTCTAATCCGGTTCGTGCAAGAAATAATTCGATCTACAAAACGAAAGGGACAACGCTATAGAGTATAGAGTGGATCTAATGGAAATCGTGTCGTTTATGCAGCTCAAAAACCAGGACTATCTACGCTACGTCACCCTCGTCAAGTTGTGCACAAAAACCACACGAAGCATTCTTTAACGCCTAACTAAGGATAGAAGGTTGTTTATTAAAAGCAATCGTGTATTGGGGTTAGATGGCAATCTCACACTTGCGTACCAGTTGAGGCCGAGCAGATGAAAGGGTGACAAATATTTCCGGACTGATTCCTCGCCCCTTAACTTGAGGTCTAATATAACACCATCAAAAGAACCGCCGCATCGATCGTAAGAGGCAAACATGGGCCAGTGTCCCTATCGATGAAATTTCAGGTGTAGGTTTTGCACATAGGTGCTGCAGTTGCATGAAGTAATGAATACAGAAAAGGGGGATAGAAATAAGTTGTACACACAGGAATTCTAGTTCTTGTTGAGCCCGGACTGCACAATTTTTCGCCACGAAGTTTGAGCCCACTGCGATCAGAACCTCCAGGTGGACACATGAACGGTCACTTTTAGAAGTTTTTTACCGATCTGCCATATCTCATATCTCACCATTTCCTTACTCTTTACAGGCCATGAACTGGTTTTCGAAATCTTAAAAGACGGCATTTCTCTTGAGACATTTGAGGGGATAAAACTCTTGACTGCCCACCCTGTGGTGGACAGCTTGAGAGTGGAGCTGGGCGTCCTGCGAGCTGTCGATCAGTTGTCACGCTCGCCACTCCATCGAAAGATTATCAAGCCCGCCGAAATGCTGAAGAATGCCCATATACCCAGCTATGGAACACCGTTTGTTTTTAAGGGTTTCGCCAAGCTCAACCCTCACCAGGAGGATGTCTGCTCAAGCACGTATCAACGTGTCATAGACGATGTAAAGCCAAGCATTACGCTTATTCAGGGTCCCCCAGGCACCGGCAAATCCATGGTGATTGCGAACATCAGCTTCCAGTGTCTGTATGGAAAGGCGGTTATAAAAAGGGACCGCAAGATACTAATCTGTGCCCACTCCAACACGGCCGTCGATTCAATTGTCTACCGACTGCACAATGTGCGAGAAAACTTCAATGAAAAGGATCGTTTTCATATGCTTCGTTATGGGCTGTACGAAAAGATGAACACGCTGTCGCGCCAGTACTCGCTAGAGCATAAGTACCAGAGCGCCAGGGCTCAAAAAAGAGAATGTTTGACGCCCGAAAACAGAGCGATTCTCAAAGAGCGCTACCTTGCGTTGCAAGCGGAGCTAAACAAGATGAAGATGAGGAATCTCGATGGCACCTGGCTGTTCGATAGGTACCAGGAGAAGACGAAGCAACTGCTGAACTGGGAAGAGCAGCTCAACCCTCGATTGACACATCGCGAGGAGTACGATATTGCTCACTCTCTTATAAAGGAAGCCAACATTGTGTGCACCACACTCTCTTCGTGCGTGAAGCTGGGCAGTTTTATTAACTACTTTGATATCTGTTTAATTGACGAGGCAACACAATGCACCGAGCCCTGGACCCTGCTGCCGATGCGTTTCGGCATTCCGCACCTGGTGTTGGTGGGCGATACGCAGCAGTTGCCTGCCGTCGTGCTCTCCCAGAAGGCCGTCGACTTCGGTTTGTCTAAATCAATGTTCGATCGCATCCAGCGGAGCCTGGAGAAGCAGCAGGGGGTCCAGCCGAATGGTCATTTGTCCGTCCACACCAAGCTCTTTAGTCTGACCACGCAATACCGCATGCATCCGGAGATCTGTAAGTGGCCGAATCGCTACTTCTACGAGGATCGGCTAGTCAATGGACAGGGCCTTGATATGTTTCTTGATTCGCCCTTGATTCCCTACTCTGTTATCAACTTGAGCTTCACCAGCGACACCAGCGATCCGAAAACTCGGAGCATTAGAAACGAAGAGGAGGCTTGCTTTGTGGCCAAGCTCCTGGCAGAGATGGAAAATCATTTGCCGAGCAAAGTCTACCTCTATGGTCTGATCTCGCCGTACACCAGCCAATGCCATACCCTGAGCCAAGTCATTCCCAGTCACATGAAGATCATGCCGCCACACACTGTGGATGCCTATCAGGGCATGGAGAGCGATGTGGTCGTCATTTCGAATGCCAGGACACGCGGCACCGGTTTCCTGTCCAACTACCAGAGGCTCAATGTCGCCGTAACCAGGCCCAGGCGCTGTCTAATCATCTGCGGCAATTTCAATGATCTTCAGGTAAATGTCTGCTAAAACATTGTGATTCTGTTATCATATAGATATCCTCTTATCTGTCATCTTCCAGAGCGTGCCAATGTGGAAGAACCTGCTGGGCGATGCCCGTAAGAGAGGGGTTTACTTTGACTTAAAGCGTGAGGATGTTGCCAATCTAAAAGAGTCTTTGATGAGCAAACTATTGGTCAAGACCCCAGAGAAGGCTGATAAAGATAATTTATAGTAATAGAAAGAAAAAAAAAACAGAAAAAAGTGAGACTAATGAATTTTTTTTTTTTTGTTTTTTTTATGCATTACAATGACAGGAGGAAAATCGCAAGAAACGGTCTTCCCCCAAGAATAGAATTAAATAAACGCCATTTTCAGTTGGATTTACATTCATATTCTCATTATTTTTCATAACATTGATAGAGGACTTAAAGTTTCGATTTCTTTGTACACATAATTTCCTTAAAACATTTTCCGACCTGCCTTCTCCTTCGTATATAACAGGATTTATATATGAAACATTCTATATATATTATATATGTATGCTTTTTTGTGAAAATTGAATGAATAAAGGAACATAAAGAAATGTGAAATAAAAATGACTGGAATTCAGTTACCCAGATGGTTTTCACTCCCTACGATACGTACGAGTATATTGCACTATAAATGACAGGCATAACGGAATTGCACATCATTAGTCTTCGGTTACAGGTGGATGTATGTATGTATGGGTTCAAAAATGCGCTTCGATTATCCTAAACACTGGGTGGGTGCCTCTGCAGCTCCTCCAGCTCCATATCCTTGTCAATCTCTAAGTCATAGTAGTAGTAATAGTAAGTAAATTCACTAACAACACATGCACACGCGTACAATCGATTGTTAAATTAAATTCATAGTTCTGCTGGTTGGTTTTGCTTCGTCTTGCGTCTTTAGCTTTAGCTTAAGCTTTAAAATAATGGAATCGCTTAACAACAAATCTATATATAACTATATAGAATAGAAGGGGAGCAGCAGCACACAGAACTTAATGCCAAATCAGAATATATATAACTTAGTGGGGATGGGATGGGAAGGGCGGGGCGGGGAAGGGGAACGGGAACGGGGGGAAAATCATCTAAAATGTAGCAACAAAATCTAACGTAAACACTAAAAACATAACAATAATTATGCTCTCAATTAAAACTAGTTTATGTGGCGGCTTAAGGTGCATGCCGTATGCTTATAGATATACTATTCATATACCATTGTAGCATATATGTATATCAATATTTCTTTTACACATATAGAACGTACGACTAAAGCAAACTTGTCTGTTGTCTGTTGAATCTAAATGGGTAATGGGTAATGGATGACCGCAGAGCCCGGTCTTGTTTTCCTTTTTGTTTTTGTTTTAGTTGTTGTTTTTGTGTTTAATTTAGGTTAGCATATCGCCCAGAGAGTCCTTAAGCGATTGATAAATTTGGTATTGTTGATCTGGCTTTAGATTGTATATCTGTGTCAGGAGCTTCGCCGGCGATGGGGTTCTGATGAAGCTCGATATATAAACGTTGACAAAGGTGGCCATCAGAAACTGGCAGTCGAAGCGGTCCATGATGCCGCCATGTCCAGGAATCATGTCACCAAAGTCCTGCAAAAAAAAATTTATCCATAGTTCATTGCTTGAAACAGGTCTTGCGAGCTCAAACCCTCACCTTGATCTTAAAAGCTCTCTTAAAACCGGAAGCAAAGAACCCGCCGAAAGGTCCAATAATGGAGCTGAACAAGCTCAGAGAAATCGAGTGCCAGATATAAGGATAAACGTTCAAGGACTTGCCAATGCCAAACTTAAAACCAAAAGAGAAACACATTAAACATAAAATATTAATCTGGAGAAAGTTTGCTGTACGTACCACCTTCAGGCTGTATTCCTGCGGCGTGAACAGATAGCTGGGCACACAGCTCATTGTCATACGACCCAGTTCCTCAGAGTATTGTATGGGACATATGAAGTACTGGTAGTTGCACAGAAAATAGGAAAACAGAATGCCGAAGAGGACTGTGGCAAAACCACCACCAATGAAGCCCTCCCAGGTCTTCTTGGGGCTTAGCTTGATGAGGGGTGTGCGTCCAAAGAAGAAACCAAACACATAAGCCATGACATCATTGCAGACAATCATCGATACGGGCACAATGAACCAAATGAGACCCTCGAATATGTTCTGTATTATGAGGTAGCTCTGGGTGACGACAATCAGCAGCGAGACGTGTGTCCAGGCAAACAGGCTAAACTGTTTGATGTAATACTTCTTCACAAGCGACAGCACAAACCAAACAAAGCCAATGATGTACAGGGCGAACGAAAGGAAGCGATGGTAGGTCACCAGAAACTTGAGATATTCCTGCAAGGGGATTTACCATTGGGATGAGCCATTTCTAAAATATAAAAGGCTGCCTTTCTTACCACACGATTGATGACCACGCCGAAGTAATCAACCAGATTCTCGCCATAGAAGAAGTAATTGGATGTAAGCAGAAAGTACCAAGAGAGACTGCGGAACCAGGGAAGTCCGTGTATGCGATAAACTTGGTAGCCAATCGAGATGATCTCCTGAAAGCACTTCACCTGCACTAGCAAAGTCTGAACAAGGGAAAGCAAATAATAATTTAGTTTGATTCTCTTCCACGGCAAAGGCCATTGAACCCACCGTGATCATCAAGGCCAGCGGGCCGCCGTAGATGATCAATGCGAAGCCACAAATCATAATCCATGTGAATATGCCGCGAATGACCCAGTTCTTCCAACTACCAAATGGAAAAACTATTATTATTATTTGTAATTATCAAAATATTTGCCACCCCACCCACTTTCCGCCGACTGCAGCCAGCTGTGGGGCAAATGTATTTTTGGAAATGATTCGAAATTCTTCACATACCGATCGGGTAAATCCTTGAGTGCCGAATCCAATAGCTCTGGTGTCTTGTCCGTGCCCTGGGGTAGATTCTTGGCCAGCTCTTCAACGAACTTCTCCTCGGGAATTTTCTCCTCCTCAGAGTCCACCTGCGGACCGGGAAACCAATTAGAATTGCAATTTGTCTGGTTAAATGGCCCCTCGGGGCAGGGGGTGAAGCTTATACATTTTAACGAGGTGCCGTTCAAAGTCCAAAATATATACTACTGCTATATACCCATAATCAGAATATCAGCCAACGATATGCCGCCATTTATCCAAGACACACACACACGCACAAACACAGAAAAATTGTGGGATTTTCGGTGGCGTGTTTTGTTTGGTGCCAAATTATTGATAAGAAGCCATGTGGGGGGAAGGGAAAGAAGGTTCGCTTATCAGAGAGACGGAAAAAAGCCGGAACCATTGCAGAAAGCATACGGGGCGCAACGGGGCGACCTCTCTCTTAAGGGGTGGGCGCTTCCGTAATGGCTGGAATCCACTATAATTGGATTTGCACGAAATAATGGCGTTACATTGCTTCCACGCGGTGGATGGGGGTGGTAGTAGGGGGTTGGGGTCTAAGTTATTGGTTTTTCGCCTGCTGGCCTGCGCTCTCAATCGGTCTCTCTCTCTGTCACCCCTGCGACCAAGGTGTATTAATACCAAGTGAGACACTCTGCCAGAGGGCGCTCTCTGAAGGGATAATATATTTCAACCGTATTTTTTTTTTGCATGCTGAGAAAGTAACAAAAGACCAGAGAAAATAGATAGATCAAGAGAGCGGGAAGTTCCCACCTCACATAGATGCACCCTAATTGCGCCCACCTGATTTTGCGTCAGAGAATAACAAAACACACACACAACGCACCCAACAGATGTGTGTACATACATTTCTACTGGTATGGGTATACACACATTTGTTTCTTATGTTTTTTTCTTTGCGCTCCAATGAATTATGCAAATGGAATGGGGAACGAGGCAAGGAATTGCTCTGCTCCACATAGGAGTCATTGCCTGGGCATCAGTAGCAGTCAGCTAATTGGACACTTACATGGTCTGAAGAATCAGCTGCAGACGAGTGCCGTTTCACAGAATCAGATTGACCAGCAGCCTCACCGAGGCCCTCCTTTCTGCGTCGCACTTCGGCCATTATTCTATTTTCACCGTATGCCGCAATTGATTTCGGTATTGACTTCACTTCGCACAAGCAATTTCAATTGCACTTGCAGTCCGCGTCTATTCGTAGTCACAAAAAAAATATTTTAGTTGTCAGTCAGAGTCTTCTCGTTCAAAAAATGTAGAAGCAGTGTGACGGATTTATTGATAAAATATACGGTCCGACCCTCAGAAATATACCAAAATATACTGTCTCATTTGAAAAATATACCGTAAATGTACAGACAAATTCAAGTTATATTTTACATATTCCTCGTTTTTGATATTACGTCGAAGATTACTAGCTAGATAGAACCCTCAGTCCTGCCCACATAATTTCATCCAATTAATGGATCAATTTTCTACTTGACTGGCTTATTAAAATTTTGGTTCCTCAACAACAATATAACGTCTCGTATGATGAAAACCCGAAGTTAGCCCACTTAAGCCCCCTTTATTTAAACAGTTCAATGACTTGAGGTAAATAGCGGAAAATATTACTGATTGTAAATTCTTCTTTTAGATCTATGCCATCTTTGCTCTGAAGTTAAAAAAACAGCACGATATCTTTCAACTGAACGTCGCTAAAATGAGGCAATTCTAATTATTTTCGGTGGAAAATTAAAATAACCCCTTGGCTTATAAGCGGTTAATCGTTCTCCATCAAGGATCGGAAACCATATTGCTTAATTTTGATGTTCCGTCAAATATTATTAGCTATATAAAAAAAAATTGCCCACATAATTTTATCGAATTAATAAACCTATTTTCTAATTGACTGGCTTATTGTAAACATTTGCTTTAGTTGGATTTAGTCTAAAAAAAGGTTTTAGCAAAAATTTGTAGAAATAGCATTTCTACACGGCTTCTACATTGGTTCAATGGACAAGAGGGTGAGTCCATAACGCGACTTGAAATATACTAGAAAATACTATGAAAAGTATACCACTTACAAGGTGTCTGACGTAGACATGGTGACGTAAAATATACGGTCTGACCCTTAGAAACATACCAAAAGATACCGGCTCATTTTAAAAATATACCGATGTAAGACCGAAATTAACCCACTTAACCCCCTTCTATTTATGCGAACATCTTGAGTGAAACCGCGAAAAATAATTTTATATGCAGATTCTTCTTATGCTTTCTTCTCTCTACTTAACAAAAAAAAGATGCATTGATGCATTGTACCTGAATGCCTAGAAGTCTTTAACTTTTACACCCTTCGTGGATATATATTTATACACCCCTTGGGTGGGGTCAAAATGGGGTTAATTGGTTAGCAGAATATTGTGCTAAGACAAAGATTTTGCTAAATTGCGAAGAGAGAGAAGGACAAGAAGTTTTATATGAAAAGGTTGCTAATCTTGAAAAGGTGCATCTGGATTTGACAACGGAAAATTCGGACTTATGCGATACTGCTGAGAAGAGGGAGGATGTCAAGAAAATTAATTTTCTTGGCCTGCTCATGTTTTTGGCACCGTTGTGGCGGTAATATTTTTTGTTAATTTTGGCAAAGTATTACATGCATTGCTTATAAGTATAAGCAAGCTAAAAATCCATTTTCATTCGATTTTGAGTATATGTCATAGAAAATTCCACAAAATTACAGAAATCCATCATGTCATGCAGAAACAAAATTAAAATGGCGCTTTCAGTGGCGGCCTAACAACCGATTTTTTTCAAATTTTCTTTCGATAAGTCGGTTTGATATGTAAAACAAAATCGTATAGGTAAAATGTTCTCCTTTTGAACACAGGCCGACTTGGACGGAACAATATTTTTTCGCGTCTAATTTTACAATTCAAAAAAGCCGCATTTGGTGAGTTATTTGTTTTGTATTTGATTCTCACACTTCTATTTACGTTCCTGTACGGTTCTGCATTTACTTTAGATACGTTTCCATGGAGGAAATATGCAGAGTTTGCATGGGTTCCCATGCATTCGGACCGTTCACAAACATTTTTGTGGAGCGCCAAGAACTTGTCATTACCATTGCTGTAATGATTGAAGATGTTACCGGGTACCAGGTTCGGCGGGGGGACTCGCTACCAGAAGTCGTATGCCCGCCCTGTCTTCACGATGCAGAGAATGCTTTTAGGCTTGTGAGAACCTGTAAGCAGAACGAAAAACTCCATTTCTCACGAATGGAGCAGAATAAAGAAGAAGACATATCTTGCGACCAGACCACCTGCTCGAGTGCATTTATAAAAAAATATGAACTTACCAAACACACCAGTACGCACACGGGCGAAATCCCTAAAAATGCTCCGCCTGCTCGAATGGATTTGTGAAAAGATATTCACTTTAAAGACACACCCGTACGCACGCTGGTGATCTATTTCCAAAGACACACAGCGAGAGTGAACGTAATTTCTAGTTTGTACTCATTAAGATAATAAAAAAATCATTGAATTCAATAATGTCTCGATACGTTTACTCTCTTTATATAGCAAACACATACAAATTCATAATACTATACTATACACATTCTAATGGTCTCAGGGAGCAGATCAGCTTACTGAAAAATCATCTGTTTCCAGCCCACGCACCAGGTTCCCTGCTCAGCACCGATAATATTGAACTGGAAAACAGCCTGCGTCTTGGAGACAATACCGACGGGTAGAAGAGATTAAACTTTCTTTAACAATTGAGCTATTTTTCCATTATCACTGCCTGTATTGGGAGTGGATGCACCAGGTGCACCTACTGTTTCAGCTTGTCCCCCACAAAGAAGTCAACTATAAGGTTTTCGGTGTTCTCCGGCACGCAGGCGTAGCGCGTATTGGCTGCTTTAAGCACTTCATCATGACCAGTAAATTGCTTGGGCTCCCGGCCGATTCATATGGCCATTATTACTTGTGGTGTTAAAAACGGCCATCTTCAACACTGCTTCCGATACATATCGGCGGAAAACGAGAAGAAAAAACAGTAAGTCCATGTATGTTTTGAAAGAATTAAATAATATAGTATATTCCATAGCTGATGGCAGATAAATCAGGCGAACAGGCGCCCGAGGCTCAGGGGCGGATCTGCGGCATGAGCAACCATACGCTTAAGACTCCCAACGTAACAATTAATGATTCGAAAATGCTAAAATTTGCACGCAAAATGAATCCGGATCTGCGGCACGAGACGCCGATCTGCATGGAGTGTTTCAGGAGCCTTGTCAAGGTCTACAGCAAGAAGAATCAGGGGAATAAAACTTCCACCTCTTTGGATCCAAACAAGAGCATTAGCGGGGATACACACAAAACTAGCGCAGCGCACCTGAATATTGCTTCAGAAACGGCCATCTCGCAGCTCTGTGGCCTGGGAACGCACTTGCTGATGCTCCCTAAAACCACAATTAAGGATGATTCGGGATTGCTCGGAGTTGCTCGCTACGTCAATCCCGAAATGCGAAGTGCGACGCCGGTCTGCATGGAGTGCTTCAAGAGTCTTGAGAAGTTGTACAAGATGAAGCTGCAATATGCCCGGAAGTATCGCACAAAAAAGGTGGACGACACCCTCGACGTTTCGGACGTGAGCTCAGAAAGTCTCGACGACTCTCTTAATTTGTAGCATTTTCATTTCTTTATATCATTACAAATACATATCCACAATTCGACCCTAAAATGGATGGGAAATCGAAACCTTGTCTAAACTTTCTACCCAGTTTGTCGTCAGGGGCACCCTACTGCTGCCCCGTTTAGACAGGCCTTAATCGTCTTAAGAAACTTTCCAACACTTGCCACCGGCGTCACTGCAATTTTCGGCTCGCCAATTTTCACATTGAAATAATATATTTATCAAACGAAAAAGCTTAATTAAATAGAAAATGGCTGCAGCTATCGATGGTGTTCTCCCAGGCACATTGCAGGAGCTGGTAAAAAAGTCCAAGGTGCTGGTTGTTGGCGCTGGCGGGATCGGCTGCGAGGTCCTCAAGAACCTTGTGCTCAGCGGCTTCAACGACATTCAAATTGTGAGTTTTGTGAATTCCACGCGTCGCTTGGCTTAAATACCCATCCCATTTAGATCGACTTGGACACCATTGACCTGAGTAATCTCAATCGGCAATTTCTTTTTCATCGCGAACACGTGGGAAAATCAAAGGCCCGTGTGGCACGGGAAACTGCTTTGAGCTTCAATCCGGATGCAAAGATAACTGCATACCATGATAGCGTCACATCGTAAGTTCAGTTCCAAGATCTCGCATATTCTCGTCCATATTCTAGTTCTATCTACTGTCCGTTTCCAGCTCCGACTACGGTGTCAGCTTCTTCCAGAAGTTCGATGTAATCCTCAGCGCTCTGGACAATCGTGCTGCCCGCAATCATGTGAATCGCATGTGTCTTAATGCTGATGTTCCTTTGATCGAGAGTGGCACCTCGGGCTACAATGGTCAGGTGGAGCTGATCAAGCGGGGCCTCACCCAATGCTACGAGTGCACACCCAAGGAGAAGCAACGCAGTTTTCCCGGCTGCACCATACGCAACACGCCCTCGGAGCCCATCCACTGTATTGTGTGGGCCAAGCATCTCTTCAAGTGAGTTGAATTCTGAGTCAATCTAATTGAACCGATTCCAAGTCTAACCCCCTTCCATTGTAGTCAACTGTTTGGAGAATCTCTCGATGATGAGGACATTTCTCCAGACGCTGCCGATCCGGATGCCCAGAGTGTCCCCCAAGAATTCGATGCAGGCGCAGGTGGAGACGGTGAGGCGAAGATCAGCAAAGAGAAAACTCTAACGGAGGAGGGTACGAACAATGGCAATGTTGTGCGCATCAACACCCGCCAGTGGGCCAAGGATTGCGACTACGATGCTGCGAAGCTCTTCAACAAGTTCTTCGATGAGGACATCAACTACTTGCTGAAAATGTCTAATCTGTGGACCTCGCGAAAGGCCCCAGTGCCCGTTTCTTGGGACACACTTGTGCCCGAAGGGACGACTGATATCCAGCCAGAGTTCGCACGGCAGCATCACAAGGTCTGGACCGTGGAGGAGTGTGCCCATGTCTTTGCCAATACGCTCAAGGAGCTGAGCGCATCATTCCTCAAACTAAAGGCTGATGAAACTCTTGTCTGGGACAAGGATGATCAGCCGGCAATGAACTTTGTGGCCGCCTGCGCCAATGTGCGCTCCTACATCTTTGACATTGAGCGAAAGTCAAGATTTGAAATCAAGTCGATGGCAGGGAATATTATACCCGCAATTGCCACCACCAATGCGATTACTGCTGGCATCTCTGTGATGCGAGCCTTCAATGTCCTTGAGGCCAAATGGGAACAGTGCAAGGCCGTCTATGCCCGTCTTCGCCCCAATGGACGCGGCCAATTCCTTGTCCCAGATGCCTCCTTGGCAGCACCCAATCCCAGTTGCTATGTCTGCTCCCTAGATCCGGCCATTACCCTCCGCATCGATACCAAGCGTGTTCACATTAAGGAGCTACGCGACGATGTACTGATTAAAACACTCAACATGCTCCATCCAGATGTGGTACTGGTGGGCTCTAACTCTATTTTGATCTCTTCGGAGGAGGGTGAAACGACAGATAATGACGACAAGCTGCTGTCCGAAATGAACGTTGTAGACGGCGCAATCCTGAACTGTGATGATTTTCATCAGAACTACAGTCTAAGCGTAATAATATCGCATTTCGATGCAGAGCGAGACGATTCTCTCTTCGAGGTGTCTGCCGACTCAAAGCAGTTGCAACCCAAAGAGGAGGAGCAAAAGATGCCGGACGATGAAACCGACAAAGGAAAGGAAGCACGAAAACGTTCTGCCAATGGTGCAGATGTTGCTGCAGATGATGGCCCCTCCACATCGAAGCGTAGTCGTCCAACCGAAATAGAAGACGACGACGACGATGACTGTCTTGTGATCGAAGAGGAAAACGATGAGGATGTAATGGTCGTGGCCACAGATAACCTTTCCGTAGAGAGTCCCGCCAAAACGGCCACCAAGCGAAAGCCCAGCGTAGCGATCGAGGATATCACCGAGATATTGGACTCGTCCGACGAGGAGGAAGCCGGACCAACCAAATGCAAACGTTCCAAGATAGAACTGCCCGATCTGAAGATCAATCAAATGGAAGTCATAAACATTGATTGAACAGAGTACAATCTTTCCGTTTAAACATTCTCTAACCAGTTCCATGGAATTTTCTGAAATTTTAAGAATAACGATGCGAATAATTTAAAATGATTTGACTGTTTTTTTTTTTAAGTGAATTCCTATGTATCCTCAACACTGTGTCTCATGAAATTTTTTATATGAAGAGCAACACATACGATAATGAATAATAATAATATCCACAATTTGCAAAAATCGGAGTTTTGAAAGTATCATCGATAGCAACCAGTGCTGATTTTTTGTTATCGGCAGTGGGTTAATGTTAATCTAGCCAAGGTGAGTGATTTGCCAACGTTTGGAAAGAATTTCAATGAAAACCCGACTTTTAGATGTCCTTTGCTGGCAAAATACTTCAACACAGCGCCCGCCTGTGGAATGGCCTCAGTTCCAAGCGTGGATTTCACGTCCTAATGCGCCCCACGGCCATCGCAGCCGGAGTGACCAACAACAGCAATCAAACACAACTGGTGGCCAACACAAATGTTTCCGCAGGACTGCTGACCCCTGTCTCTACTCTGCTGCAGCAGGTCGCCGGCTTTAAAGTCAAGGGACGCCTAAAGAGGCGCTGCAAGGATTGCTACATTGTGGTGCGCCAGGAACGCGGTTATGTCATCTGCCCCACGCATCCGCGCCACAAGCAAATGTCGATGAAGAAACGTGACTACAAGTCTTGGATATTGACACACGCCACCCAGTCCAAGGAACGAGGCTTCTAGTTTTCTGTAGCCCCTACAACTAGCATTTTTCTTTCAAATTTAAATAAAAACATAAAATTTTATCTATAGTGGAAAACTAGGCGTTGCCCAACACTGGTGGCTCAGCTGGAATTTTTTTGTTTATCTCCATTTCTGGACACAAAAATTAGTCGCTTGGTGCCGATCCCGTCGCTTTTCTAAATTTTTCTTGACCGGCGTGCAAGCAAAAAGCAAATACGTCTGACGTCAGTGTACTAATACGGGTGCATTGCTGATAAAACCCGAAAATTCGGGCAAAATGACGGCTCATTTCATGAATGTTCTGCGGCAGGCCTTCAAGACATTCGATCGTGCCAACCACGCCAGCTTCAATACCAATTTGCAGCACCTCAAGCAGCTAACAGATGAACTCACCTACCGCGATCTTCACATCAAGGAGGAGCTCTTTCGCCCCCACGCTGGGGCACCGTCCCCGTCCCACGCCCAGAGCCGTGCGCCCTGCAGCTACATGCACATCTTTGAAGACGAGCGCTTCTCGATGAGCCTGTTCATTGTGCGTGGCTCCAGTTCCATTCCCCTGCACGACCATCCCATGATGTTTGGCCTGCTTCGCTGTATCTGGGGGAAGCTGCTGGTCCAGAGCTACACACAGCAGCTGGGGCCCGACGAGCCCCTGCACTACGACACGGATCCCATTGTGGTGAAGGTGAACGTCGAGGAGCCCTGCCTGGTGTCACCAGACACTCCCAGCGCCATGGTCACACCACGCAAGCGAAACTATCACCATATAACAGAGGCGGGCAACGGCGTGGCCGCCTTCTTCGATATACTCAGTCCACCCTACGACGCCGACATGCCCATGTATGGCCCACGCAGCTGTCGCTTCTATCGCCCCAAGTCGGATGGGGGCCAAACGCAGCTACACTGCATCCCCTCGCCAGCCACATACTATTGCGATGTGGTGGACACGCCCAAGACCGTTTTGCAATGTGCCTTCAAATGCGCCGACGAAGACTATGCCGAGAACGTCCCAGAGACGCAGTGAAGCCCCGCGTTGGGCTTACAGCAGCAGCATCCCCCAGCCGACTCCATCATTTGTGGACTCCAGTCAAGCCCACAAGCGAGCAAGCATTTTCTGTGTTATTTAAATAAATTTGCCTCCTTTTTTTTAAATTCATTCCGGAATCATGGAATATGTTATTTTATTCTCAGTCAAGCAGAATGGTTAGTATTTAGTCATCGTCTTCGGCTTGATAAATGTTCTGGTTCCTACGCTTTAGTTTCTTGACGCTGGGTGGACTACTGGGAGCTGGCGGGACTGCCTTGACTTTTGGATTGTCCACTGCCTCCGACTCGGCTGTCTCTGCTGTCTTTGGATCCTCATCTTCCTCAGGCAGATCTATCACGCTGTCATCTTTTTCTGCTGCGGTAGCATCAGCTGTAACTGTAGGCGCCGGCAAGAAAAAATTAAGTTTTCTTTTCGAAGGGGTCACAAGTGGTTCAGGAGGAGGGGAGGAGCTCCCTTCGATGGGTTCTTGATCCTGACATTGATTCTGAACGTGAACAATGGTTTCCTCTGCCTTCGGGTCTATGCTTTCAACCGCAACTGCTGGCAGATCCTTGCCATTGGCCAGCAACGCCAGACAGAGTGGATCATCTACACCCAAGACAGAACAGAATGTATTGCTCTGGGGATTTAGATGGGCCGTGGGTTGACCCACGACCATATGCTTATAGTTGGACTGCTCCTGCGGATCAAAGGCAGGCACCGTTCGCTGAAAGTTCTCCGGGATCTTGAGGCTCTGGAATTTGGTGATCAACGAATCCAGTTCCTCCTCGGTGGGTGTGAAATTGAAGCGCTCTGCGATGGCGCCAGCCTTCTTGCCCGGCAGGTAGTAGTAGTTCTCCTTCACCGAGATAAGATGATTGGTGCTTTGCAGAATAACAAGCCATTCGGCATCGTATTCAAACGTGGGATTACCTTCAATCGCTTCACTGGGTATGTCCAGCACTTGGAGAAATGCTCGTCGAGGCAGGCATTTGTCCAGAGCGAGAAACTTTGTGACAGCCACTGGTTTGGGTGGCAGCCTAGATGTGCTCTCCTCATCGTCGCTCTCACTACTGCTGCTGCTGCTGCTGCTTGAAGAGCCGTCTCCCATTTTGGTTGGGGCTTTGGTTGCGTTTTGGTGTGGCACGAGGGCGGCAAATTTACAATGCAAATGTGCGGCAAACCAGTAAGAGGGCTGTATTGCCTTCAGCAGCTCCTCCAGCGGTCGACTGCCTAGTTGCCCGCTTTCCATGTCAGCCGCAAAATAGGGTTTCTTCCTGAGCAGCTGGGCCTTGTTGCCGTATTCATAGATGCCGGTGGGCCAATCGTGCGACAAGAATATGTCTATCTTACCAGATAGCTGCTTCAGGCGGAACACCTCCAACTGCCGCACGTGATAGACACTGCGACATGTGGATTCCGTGTAGGGCGGGAATTCGTGATGGCCACGCAGGAAGTCGTGTCCCTTGTAGATGCCACTGATGCCTGCAATACGAACGCCGTTCACATTTACCACTCCAGCATAGCCCAGATAATATATATTTGGGGCCACCCATCCGCCGTATGGAAGCTCTTGCAGGTAGTTCGAGGCCTCGTGGTTGCCGCCAATGAAAATAGTCAGCACAGGGGCCACGCACTCCCCGCTGTAATATCTGTGGAACAATAAAGCCATATTAAATATAAAATACACTGATCTCTTTGCCACTCCACTCACTTGTAAAAGGTACATATATCCAGGTACTTCTTCGGCACAGCCATCGTTTGCAGATCCTCCAGATTGCGCGTGGATTGAAAGTCACCGCAGCATAGCAGGAGATCGATCTTTGTATTGCTCTCCTTCTCGATGCATGCTATGGTGTCGTATATGCGCTCCAGTTCACCGTGCGCGCATCCTTCTATTGCTATTTTCATGTTTCTCTCTTTTTTAATTGTTGGTTTGGTTTGTAAACAATAATAATGCCCGGCATTAAAAAAAATGCTAAGCATTTGTCGACTTACAGCACTCATACCAGTGTTGTTGAACGTGCATCCCATATTTATGGCGGCAAAATCAGCTAAATTCAAATGTATTTTATTTTATCAAATTTCCATTAAATTCAAACGTTAAAAATGATTTTATTTTTCAAAAATATCGATCCATTTACATAATATACGCGTAATGTGAGTGTAAAGAAAATGTATGTGAAATGCTCTGCTTTGAATTCTCATTCTATGACCATTTATCCATATTGTTTTTTGTTTTTCTCGGAGTTCTGGGGGTCGTGCGGGGGCTCGTACAATCTCATTTGATGAGACTTCCTCGTCTTGTCAGTGTGTTGTTTTTTTTTTTGTTCCGTTTCGTTTACATACAAAGATTTACAGTGTGGACTCATTTCGACTTAAGTTTTATCATAATTTAGTTGGCATGGAGTTGCCAAGAAATAGACAGTAAAATATACATCTACAATAAATATATGCGACTATCCCGGGACTGTCGCAGCGGCAGCGCATGCCATGCCTTTAGTACATAGAATGTACGTAGAAACCAAGAGAATGCCTTAAAGCTATAATCAGCATGCCTATTCAGTGTTTTAGTTTTTTTTTTCGTTTTGGAAAGAATATGAGAAACGATCAAGTCAGAAATCGAACTAAGTCTCTGGTGTGGTGTCAGTTTCAGTTTCAGTTTCAGTTAATTAGGAGCCGAACTTGAAGGATGAGGGAACTGTTGTCTGGGGAAAGGCGAAACCACCTTGCTTCTCAATTAGCTTCGATTCTTTGGCCGCCTTCCGTTGATCGGCGGTCACGACCACATCCTGAAGCGCCCTTGCCTGTTCAGGGGTAAGGTTTGACGTCAGCAGCGCATACCAGGCCTGATCTTGGGCAGAAAGTGCTAAAGGTAGCATGAGGGGAAAGGAACAGAGTGAGAGTCAGAGTCAGAAAAGAGGAATCTATGGGAGGAATCATCGCCAAAACGAACCTGTAATAACTTCCTTAAATGTCCAGTATTCATCGATGGCGCTATCGTTCTCCTCGTCGTCGATTGGCGTGGTGAATGTTTCAAGACCCGTCTCGTTGAGGTCCTCCACAGACTCCTCAGCGTCGTCATTCGACTCGTCATCGTCATCCTTGACCTCGGCCTTGACCTCAAAGCCAGCTTCGCCCGCTTTCGCTTTGGTGAACTCGGCCAGTTTGTCCAAATAGTTGGGTGCCATTTCGTCCATGTCGTCCTCGTCGCTGGACAGAGCCTCCTCACAGTCATCGCCATCCTCCTCCTCCTCCTCCTCTTCGTCCTCCTGGGCCCTGGACTCGTAAGCTCTCTTCAAGCCATCGAAGAGCAGGATCAGCGAGGGCACAATCTTGCCAGCCACCTCACTTAGCACCTGCGGCTTGGCATCGCCCAACGAGATGAGTGTACACAGGCCAAGGACACACAGTTTGCGGTCGTGAATGCTGAAAACGAGATGGGGTATAGGGTTAAAACAAAACCAAAGTGAAAGGGTAATCGCCCCAGTCTTACCCCAGAAAACAGTCGGTGTCGTGAAGCCATTGCTTGATGAAATGCGAGCTTATTGGTTCGTTATTCGGCTGCGACATCTTGTCCAGAATGGAGAGCAGCAACTGGGGATTGTAGTAGAGGGCCGCAATCACCACCTGGAGGCACATGGTGCGCAGCTCCGAGGACTGAACCTCGCGTGTTAGGCGCGACAGAGCCAGCTCCACGAACATGTGTATCACTGAATCGATTTGGCCCTTGCACTGCAGAATAATGACCTCCATCAGTTTGGCCGCATGGCACTCTGGATCCTCGCCAGGATTGCCAGTGAGCATCTGTCGATAAGATCAGAGAGCATACGAAAATGATTAATAACTGGATAGCTTGTTCGATTAGGGAGACGTTTGATCTGGTCTGCGGTCTGGAGTCTTTACCGTTTTGCACATGTCGAGTATGGCCAGGAGTCGGTTGGGATTGGAGAGGAAGGCTGGTGTATCGACCGTCACATAGTTATGCAGCGCCGGCATAATGTCAATAAAGTAATCGATGCCATCCTTCTTGAATACCTGATAGATAAGCTCTAGCATTTGCCACATCTCCGGGGAAATGGCCTTGCACGTCAGATCGTACACCAGAGAGAACGTTTCTTCGTAGAAGTCTGTCTCGAGCAAATGAAATGAAAGATTAGAAAGATGATCAAAAGAAGGATCAAAGCTCTCAAATCTTACCCGTAATGTTGTGCTGGAATATGTGACCCACCACATTGATGACAATGGGATGCAGATTGAGCAGCACTTCGGGGTGCTCCTCCATCACACTCAAAAGGGTTTCGATTGTGTTGAGCAGACTCATGGCGGTGATGGCCTTCTCATCGGATCCCTCCTCCGACTCGAGCACCTGGCTGAAAGTCGTGGCCAAGTGCTGGCAGATCTCGGTGGCCACCGGCAGCAGCTGTGTGGTGAAGGTGCACACAATCTTCTGCATGACATTCGTCAGATCCTCGTTCTCCGTCTCCCGAATGATGGTTAACAGCTCCTTGGTGATCTCCTTGATCTGCGCCTCCACATATGGCGGCGCCTCGTCCTGGGACGATAGGAACATCTGCAGCCCAATGGCGGCCTCCACTTTCACGGGCAACTCCTTGTCTGTCAGCAGGGCATTGGTGGTCAGCCGCATGATCTCTGCCAGAACTTGGGGATTCTTGATCTGTACATCGCAGAAATAGTGCAGCACCCAGCAGGCGCGTGCCCTCATATGCCCAGCGGGATTCTGGAACTCGGGGAACACATATGTCGTCAGCATGGACTCCACCTGGTCCCTGTACAGGGCCTTCTTTAGCAGAACATCGGCCAGGGTGCCGATCATGTGCAGGGCTCCGTCCTTCTGCTTGTTGTCTGCCTGCTGGGATGTTATGATCTGCATTATTGTGGCCATGGCCTTGGGCAGGACGCCCTTGCGCTTCTTGCAGATGGAGTGCAGTAACGATTGGGCAGCTGGCACAGGTGTGGCATAGTCCTCAAATATGTCTGCAAAGGAAATGATCGTTAGCAACAGCAGATCACGAACAGAGAACGTTTCTCTTACCAAACTTTAAGCGAATGTACTCATAGGGATCGCTTTCCCACAGCTCCTGATCGGAGTCCGTGAAGGACATGATCGGAAAGATAACGTCCTGTATGACAGCCACCATATGGGGCTTGATCAGCTTCCAGGTGTACGCATGGCTTACGCTGCAAATAGAAAGTGTAAGGAAATGTAAGGAAAAATGCATCACAAGATACATACGCATTCTTGAGATAGTTTAGCACATCGGTGAGGACACGCGGCGAGACATAGACTCTATTCCGGTACTGGTCGAGGATCTTAAGGAGCACCTCCAAAACACCCTGGCTGAAGGTCGGCAAATACCACTCAGCGAATTTTTGGTACTTTTCACTAACCACATTGCTAGGACTTCCATAGCTACAAATCAAAGACAAACTATTATTTAGAGCTCCTTTAATTGCCGTTTTTCTGTTAACGAACCGCTCGAACATGCGGACCATGATATGGAGGGCCCACTTCTTGGTCTTCCAGTAGGGGAATTCGGTGCGTTCATCTTCATCCAAGTGCGAGCAATCGGGCACCTCACGATCTGCAATCTGGCGACAGATCTCCATCCACTGCGAAAAGATCTCCTTGGTGATGAGATCCAGCGGCAGGCTGTACTGCGTGAGGGCGTAGTAGATCTTGAGTATTTGTTTCTGCAGGAGAACTGACTGCTCCGACTGCTCGTTGAGAAGCCTAATTATCAGCTGATAGATCATAGGCAGAAGCAGATTCATGGCCTCGTTGAGCGGTGTCCGCTCCTCGGATCGCTTGTACTCGTACGTCTTCACCAGCTGATACATGGTGAGCAGCGCTCCGTTCCATCCATTCAGATCCTGGTTCTGCAGATAGATGCTGATGTTGTCCACCACCTGGGGCCAGCGACCTGGAAAGTCGCTCTTGATGATGTGATTAACGCAGACGGAGAGCTGAACCCTGCAAAGAACAGCACAGCACATCCCATAATTAGTCGAAATGAGAGGCGAAAAACCCTACAACCCAACAATTGCTTACCTGATCAATTCGGGGGCATGGACAATGGCATCCACAATGGTGCCACGGATCATGGCCCGATCCTGTTCGTGTATAGAGAAGGGTATGGGCTCGCCCGGCTTTGCCTCGTGGTCCGACCAGCTGCTGTTGATCAGATTCTTCAAGTAGACGGCACCCGCCTGCCGCACCGGCTGCTCCAGCGTCGTTTGCATAACAATTTGCAGAATGGTGGGCACAAATCCAATGATTTTGTGTATCTGCGGGAGAAAGAGAACAAAGTCAAATGAAAATGAAATGTAGATCTAGATTATTTTCCCCATTTTCCACCGATTTGTTTACACAGCTGCTGCTGCTGTCGGGATGGGATGACTAAGGCGGTGTGCAATGGGTTAAGAGAATTATTTGCCCAAAGCATTACAATGTATCGATGGCACCCGCCGACCCGACCCAGAGGAGGAGGAGGCACGGCACCACTTTAAATTCTGTTCACAATCCCCCAATGAATACGGTAGGCAACGGAGCCATGGCACCGAACCGTGAGCAGATGCCGGTGGCCGACGACAATTTGCCATAAATGCTGATAAAGTTAATTAACCAATAGAATTAGGAGGGGGGCCTGGAAGAGAGACGGGCATGCAAATCGTTAGATGCTGACTCAGTCGTAATGAGCATGCCCATGGTACAGTGGAGTGAAAGCAATTGGGTAATTGATGAACAAATGAAAACGTCTCTAATTAAGATTCTGTTTCTGAGAGACACTGGAAACTGGAAACTCGTTTAATCTGGAAAGTGGATTGCGTAAGAATAGAAAATAAACTTAAAAAATGTAATGGCAGAAACATATTTCGCACGCACAGTGCCAGGCAGGAACCACCATTCCCATACATCAAATCGGGGACAAAAGTACTTGTTGCGGTGCCAGGCAATGGGCGCGGAGGAACACAACTCCCTGCCACAAGGTTATTGATAGATGATTGGTAAAACCAATAAAGCTTCTGCCTCCTCTTCCTCGGCCGATATCGGTTTACTGTTGGGCAGAGGCCCCATTACACCCGCTACACCCCCTCCTACACCCACACCGACACCCACACTGACACCAACACCGACACGGACACGGACACCCACACAAAAATCACTGGGAAATGCAATTGTAGAGTAAGAGAGAGGGAAGGGAGGTTAAAAGCGAACAATTAAAAAAGCACATGGTTTTTGGCGATGGCGCCACCTCAAAGGTCTTTTGCATTTGTTTGTCGCAGGAATGGGAGGGGATTAACGATTAAGGACATACCTGGGCCAGTTGATCCTCGGCGGCCTTGCGCTGCTCGGGATTTGGATCAATAGTTGCGCGCAACAGTTCCGTGAGTTTTTGTGCCTCCATTTTCGCCTAGTCGTTGGTCGCCTCTCTCTCTCTCGCTTATTTCCTATTGAATGCACGTTTTGCCGGTCGCTGCTGCTCCTTTGCACTTTGCACAGAACCAAAGCGCCCACAATGCACCTGCGAGTTGTTCTATTTGTTTCACAAATTGCTACACAACGCCACTGCAAGGGCCTAATTGCAGATATATGCACCCTATATAGCTATAAGGAAAAACGTGGAAAAGGCTATGGGACGGCACACACACACCGCCAGTGTGACCGCGGTCCGACCCTCAGAAATATACCTTAATATACCGTCTCATTTTAAAAATATGCCGTAAATATACTGACGAATTCAAGCTCCGATTTTGATATTTCGTGAAATATTTTTAGCTAGATAGAACATTTAGCGCTGCCCACATAATATTAGGCCGTTGATGAATAAATTTTCTTCAAGATTGTCTAGTATTTAGTGCTTTCTTTTTTTGTATTTTGACTAAAACAAGGCTTAAACAAAATAGTTCAACCAAAAAAAAACAGTCGCAATGTTGCTGGTATTTGAAGACATGATTGGTGTACAGGCCTTTGTATACCCTAGTTCGTTAATTTATTATGAAGAACCTGTTTTCCAAACTGTTTTTAAAACGAAAATAATAAAGAAATTTGTTTCAAATTAAATTCTTTTATATATAAATCGTAAAACAGCTTATACATCCCAATTTTTATTAAAAAAAATTTTAAATGAGTGTTATCTCAGATTTGTTCAATTAAAATGTCGAAATAATTTTTACACAGCGAATTGTATTTTAAAACTCATAACAGTAACATAACGGTCCTGGTATAGGGTATACAAATATACATACTCCATACATTTTTGGTTGTGTAGTTACCGTGTTGTTACCATGTAAAAATGGGAAATTTTTGTTGACATTTTTGTTTAAACCATATTTTAGACACAATCAAATAAAAAAGAGGATTTAAAGCTAGCCATTCGTTTGGGAAATTGATTCATCAATCGGATAAAGTTATGTGTTCAGGTTTGAGGGTCCTAGTTAGATAGTGATATTATACCGAGTATCTAAATCAAGGAATGTAAGTTCCGATCATGGACAGAGAACTATTAACCCATTGTCGACCAAAAGGTATTAAAATACACTCCACGAAAGTTAAGAAACTTGTAGAATTGTAGCAAAGTTCAAATGCAAAATAGGATAATTAGCGGTCATTATGAGGAATATATATATATATAATATATATATATTTCTATAATATATCTACAGGAAGAGTTTGCATACAGTACTATTTTCTGCAGCTTAAGTCAAGTTCTTTGCATGTTAAAAGAGTGGGGCCTACTGGGTTAAGTTCGCTCATGGGTAAATCATCATGAACTGCTGAGCACTGCCCAAAGGCTAAAGTGACACATCGTTTGACGGAGGTGTGGTTGAAAATATATAAAACTTAAATTTAACTCGGTGTAAAGCGTGAAGCTAATAGTTGACTTCAGCCGGTTTGCTAGAAACAGAAGCACAATCATCAAGGACAATGACAGGCAGGCTACCGGCATGCGTAATCGATGTGGGCACCGGGTAAGTTTAGTCGCAGCCACCGCCTGCGGGGGTCTCCAATTGGAAAAAATAGGTCGTCTGTCTGATAGCGATGTTTACATTTACAGCTACTCGAAGATGGGATTTGCTGGCAACAAGGAGCCACAGTTCATCATTCCCTCGGCCATAGCCATCAAGGAGTCGGCTCGCGTTGGCGATACGAATACGCGGCGCATCACGAAAGGCATAGAGGACCTAGACTTTTTCATTGGCGATGAAGCCTTCGATGCCACTGGCTACTCCATTAAAGTATGTCGCCACACTGATAAGCTTATCGACATTCCTTAATTTTTATCATCACCTCTGCAGTACCCGGTGCGTCATGGTCTGGTGGAGGACTGGGACTTAATGGAGCGCTTCCTGGAGCAGTGCATTTTCAAGTACTTGCGCGCGGAGCCCGAGGATCACTACTTCCTGCTGACTGAGCCGCCACTAAATACGCCCGAGAACCGGGAATATACGGCGGAAATCATGTTCGAAACATTCAATGTTCCTGGCCTGTATATCGCAGTGCAGGCCGTGCTGGCCCTGGCTGCCAGTTGGGCTTCCAGATCCGCCGAAGAGCGCACACTCACCGGAATTGTGGTGGACAGTGGCGATGGAGTGACGCACGTTATACCCGTGGTAAATAGAGCGCCCTCCCCATATCTTATCAGCAAATACTTTATTGACAAAATGTAAAGTAGGAATGGGCTTGGAATAGCCACTAAACTATTTGCAATCCATTGTAGTTTAATCAATTATTTCCCTCTAAAAAATAATTAATTAAGCTTGTTTTTCCTTAGGCCGAGGGCTACGTGATTGGCTCTTGCATCAAGCACATTCCCATTGCTGGCCGCAACATCACATCGTTTATCCAGAGTTTGCTGCGTGAACGGGAGGTGGGCATACCGCCCGAACAAAGCCTCGAAACTGCCAAAGCGATCAAAGAGAAGCACTGCTATATCTGCCCCGACATTGCCAAAGAGTTTGCCAAGTACGACTCAGAGCCAAATAAATGGATACGCAACTTTTCGGGCGTCAACACGGTCACCAAGTCGCCGTTCAACGTCGACGTCGGCTACGAACGCTTCCTGGGACCGGAGATCTTCTTCCATCCCGAGTTCTCGAACCCCGACTTTACCATACCTCTCTCGGAGATTGTCGACAACGTCATCCAGAACTGCCCTATCGACGTGAGGCGTCCGCTGTACAACAACATTGTCCTCAGCGGTGGCTCCACCATGTTCAAGGACTTTGGCAGGCGTCTGCAGCGCGACATCAAGCGATCGGTGGACACGCGCTTACGCATCAGCGAGAACTTATCCGAGGGACGCATTAAGGTTAGCTCACTCACTCTCGTATGAGTCATGCATCTGAATCGGGTTTTTATATATTCCACAGCCAAAACCAATTGACGTTCAAGTGATTACTCATCACATGCAGCGGTATGCAGTGTGGTTTGGCGGCAGCATGTTGGCCTCAACGGTGTGTTACCATCGCCAAGGAGCCCTTACAACTGATGCTCATTGATAATGGTTATTGTTTCTTTTTACAGCCCGAGTTCTATCAGGTGTGTCACACAAAGGCTGCCTACGAGGAGTATGGCCCGAGCATTTGCCGTCACAATCCCGTCTTTGGCACCATGACATAATTGATATGTTCCGATTTGATTCGATTCAGTCGGGGCCAGCCTGTCCAATGCAGCAGAGGTGCAGTTATTATTAATATTTTCAATTTTAAATTTGATTCTATTTGCTTTGATTATGTTGTATTCCATGCGCTAAAGTATTAGTACCGATTTTCCCCTTGTATGTTTAGCTTTTAAAAGCGTATTAAAAGTGTGGTAATTCTCTCCCTCTCTCTTTACGGCCAGCGGTTTCGCTCTAATTTAAGCTTAAAAACTCTTAAAAAAAACAACAATTCCGATGTCTGCCAGTTAAATGTTTGCTATTCTGTAAGGTGCATTACTTCTAGATTTTATATCGCACACAAAACCCAAAAAAAAAAACAAACACCCAAGATCTTGAAAAGCATACCCTGCCCTCACCATTCTTACATATATATATATATATACGGAAAAAACGCTGTACTTGTCATAGTAATATTTATAATTGCAATAACTGCGAAGCGATAAAGGTTTACAGAAAACAAAACGGAATGAAATGAAATGAAATACCATAAAAAAGAAAAGATAAGAATTATTGTGGAGGAACCTGTTTGTTATATTGATAGGGCATTATTTGAAATGGCATTAAATAAATCAATAAAACATTCTTTAAGCTCAAAACGTGGCTCCTTTTTGACCTGGAAGCTTGTACTGGAAAAGTTTTATTCAATGCATTGTTCACATGCTCTGTATATGTGTGTCTTTTGTGTGTGTTCGTTTAAATTGATCTAATATATATATATATATATATCCTTTCATATCATATATAAATTTTGTGACGGTGTCGATTTAGCTGATGGGAATATAGCAAAAAGGTTCGGAGTTTCCAAAAAACGTTTTCAAACTATGACTTTTGAATAATTGACTAGTCAACATAGTCGCTGGAGCCCTCCTCCTCGTCGTTGCTGCTGTTCGACTGAGCGGCTGCCGTTTCCGGGGATCGGAGATGCTCCGCAACACGAAAGTTCTGCAGAAAGTCCCGCATGGCATCCATTATCAAAGTGAGCGATTGCTGCAGGCCAACTTCTACAATCGTTTCAGGATTTATAAACATTAGAAATTATGAAAGGAGCCGGGGAGGAACAAACCTTCGGCTTCGCCGTTGGCTGGCCTGGCCAGCTGCTCTGCAACTGCTGCTGCGGCCGCAGCCTCAGCTGGCGGTAGGGCTGCTGCTGCTCCAACTCCTGCAACCTGGGCCTGTTGTTGAACTGCCGCAATGTTGAACGATGGCAAGAGGGATTGGAAAAACATAGATACGGAGTTGCTGGGGTTGTTTGTGGGACTGCTGCTGGATGAAGACTTTCTGCAAAGAATATATATGTACATTTAAGCTAAGGTCTCCCAGCTATTGTCGTACTGTTGATAGCAATTGACACTGTCTGGTGGTGGCAGTGGATCGTAGGTCATAATCGCCTGCTTCTCCTTGGCCACAAAGACGGCCAGGGGAACCTTCTCCTTGTAGTCGGAGAGTATCACATGCCGCAAAATGGGTCGTGGCGGTGTGCCGCCATAGCGTACGGACCGTTTCTCTTTGTATTCACTAACAACAGGGTCTTTGCTTTCGATGCGATCGAGTACGATGTTGACATTGGACTCCAGCCACGGCAGCACCTCGGTCGAACGCCAAACGACTCGAGCACGGCACACATACAAGCACACAAGCTGGTGCAGGGCGGGCGATTGACTGGGGGAAAGGGAAATGGAGAGAGAGCGATAACGTATTAGATAGCTATAATCGAAACCCTCTTCCAGGTGCCAGAACACTCACTTTCCCGACACATCCGAGAAGAAATATGACGAGGCCAGCACGCGCTTGTCCGTTTGCACCGACATCTCGTCCAGGAGTGGCCTCAACACAGCCGGAAACATAAGGAGTGCATACTGCAGAGCATCGTTGGAGCGATCACAAGCGCCGTGCAGTGTGTACAGGGCCAGGGCGTAGGAGTAGGCCATGTTGGGGAGCTGCGACAGGTTCCGGGCGACATTGTACTCCTCATAGAACTCCACCAGCCAGCCAAACTGTTTGCTCCTCAGGGCGTAGTAGTCGATGACCAGAATCATGGCCAGCGGATCCGTTTCTGGCTGGAGGCTCAGCAGCAGCTTTGAGATCTCAAACGCTGTGCGGCTGCATGCACGCTCTTCCAGATATTGGGCATGCTTGAAGAGCACAATGTAGAATGAGCGGTTCTCCTGGCGACGGTAGTCCAGGCGGCAGTTGCCCGATGTCAGGCTGAAGTTAATGTGCAGCGACGACTCCAGCAGAAGGAGAGCGCGCTCCAGCAGCTCCGCGGCCAGGGCAAAGTCCTCGGTCATCTTGCAGACCTCGCTCAGCTGGACTAGCGAGTCCACGTGGTAGGGGCAGCGCTTAATAAGCGTGATCAGAAACTCCGAATCGATGCGCTCCAGGGCAGAGAGGAACATGTGCTGCACTCCCTGGTAGTACTGACTATGCTCGAACGCAAACCACTGCACTGCATCGTTGCTGCTGCTGCTCTTCGTGGACATTGAGGAACCGGGTAACTCGATTGTCGGGAGCAGTTGCATCGTGATGGTGTTCTTGGTGAGCTGTGGCCAGGACTCCCTGGCTGTCACCATATAGGTAGACTTCAGAGTGGGCTTCTGGCGGCCACGCTTGGTTCTGCACAAAAAATGTACCCAATTAGAGCGTAAAGCCACAATAGTTCGGTGGGGATCACTTACTCTACTTTGACCACCCGCTTGCCGAAGGTCCGACGCATCTCGTTGTGCGAATTAAGGTGTCGCAGCTCCACGCTAAGCAGCTTCTTGGTTGCCGAACCGCCAGCAGCTCCAGCGGCAGCAGCAGCTGATGCCTGCTGCTTTACCGATTGCCTGGGCACTGCATCGTAGACTTTGCCCAACAATGGATCCTTCTCGAAGTACTTGTCCTGCCGCTCGTTGTCCTCGCTGCTGATGTGATTACCGCTGGACTTGACTTTCTTCTTGCGCTTCTTTTTCTTCTTTTTGGCAGCGGCACTGGCGTTCGGCAAAGCAGCCGACGGATGCTCCGTTTCGTTGTCATCCTCCTTGAACTCGCTCTCCGAGAGACTCAGGCCGGGCTGATTCAACTGGAATTGGACGCGACGTTGGAGAATGGGCAGTTGACGTTGAGCTGGCAGTCGTGAATTGGATGATTCAGACAGGGGCTACGTACCAGATCAAATGGATTTAAATGCGATTTGCGATCTCTGACAGTATTGTAGTCCTCCAGCTCGTCATTGTCACTCAATTCCTCGCCCTCTTCGTCGTCGGGCGGCGGCGGCAGCTTGTCAGCGTCGCCCTGCAGCTTCTTCAGCATACGCGCAGACATGGTTGTAGACGAGCTCCGCGATTATATTATATATAATTTAAAAATTTATTCAGATTTTATTAATTTTCGTACAAAATACGTGTGTATTGTGGTTATCGTTGCTGTTATCGATCAAATATATGTACCGTGTAATTTCGTGTACGTTCGCTTGCCAGTCAAGGCAGGTGTTCTGGTGCTAACCGCTACTATCGATGGTTTTGCTACTAACTATACTATCGTGATACTATCGAGCTAGTATCTGTCGGTTGTCTCTTCCTCTCCGCCAGAGGGCGCACACATTGTACTCCGAAGAGTGTGTCAGAGAGAGAGGGAATGAGAGAGCGTGGAAGCCACTGAGAATTGATTGGTTACTTCTGGCTATATTAATAATCCGATCTGATCCAGACTCGGCAATCTGGGCCGATTTGCTTGCATTCTACTATCGGACGGACGTGATTTAGAACAAATTTACATGAATCATGCCGATTTTCATCAGTAAGAACAGCAATTTTGGTCAATTTGTGTGATTTTTAGAGTGAATAATTTGAGCAAGACTCAAGGGGCCCTATTTTGGCCGGGTGCAGAAAGAACAGACGAGCGAATCGAACGAGATAACAAAATAATGTGCATGTGAGCATGTCCCTCCTGTGGCAATGGGTCAGCTAGTGTAGGTGTGTGAATACGCCTGATATAAAACGAAACACCTTTTTTATTTATGCTTAAAAATAAAAATAAATTACATTTAGATGGAATAAAAAAAACGTATTATGCATTGCGCATGGGGATGGGGATCCATATATTCGATAAAAACAATATTTCTTTCCGTCTTTAATTAAGAATATTTCCTCCCAGTGTGGTATTCAACAGTTGCGCAGTGTGGTCTTGCATTGTCTGATGCTGAACAGTAGTAACAGTAACTAAAAAATGTTACTTTAAAATCTTAATTTCCATTTGAAGCAAAATAAAATGCCAAAAAGCAAGAAATAAAAAAATGAGGATCAAAACGAGGCAGCCGAGGACACCTTTAAGTCTCGAGGCCACATTCTACGGCACCCCAATCATTGCATATCGGACCATCTAAAACAAAAGGCAGAGTTGGAACATGGCATTCTGATCAATGCAGGCCACCGGCGAACGGAGGTGCAACGGACAGGTGATTGTCAACCTGCTTTTGAAGATCAACTCGAAGCTGAGTGGCATCAACCAAACGCTGAAGAGAGAATTTCGACCGCTTCGTGTCCTACAATAGCCGCTTCCGCAACTATAATGAAAATTGTATATATATGCTTATGGTATAAATCTAAATGTATATATAGCGGCAATATGTTTAAGCACAAAGAAGTACCATTAAAGAATACTTATAATTTAATTTATGAATTTTAGCTTTTTGTTGAAGCGGGAGCGGCTGGTGTACGGAACAACACGTGAAATCCCCAGTTCAAAAAAGTCTCTCTATTAATACAAAATACGCAAAGTATAAGCGTAACTACTGGTGCCAGTTTTGAGAATGCTTAAATAGAGCTACAAGTTGAAAAGTTGAAGAGGGAATGGCCAGTGGCGGACAACGGCCAATTGATAGCAGTGCTGCAACAGTAGATGCTGGTCAAGGTGCTGAAGGATCAAGGTGACCAACAGCAACAGACAGACGGTCAATGCAAGTGAAGGATCAAACCGCTTTCGCAACTCCAATGAAAATTGATATATATGCAAAGATAGAAGAGAAAAAGAATATAAAATATGAGTAGTTTATGAAAAGAAATTCGGAAAAAGAAATAAACTTCAATAGCGATCAATTGAAAATAATAATAAGCAATTTATAATAGATTACAAAGTTTTCAATGAAATTGAATTTCTCTCAAATTCATTAAAAAATGTCATCTTCAATGAAGAAAC